GCTATGATCGTATTGTGTTTTTTGCTTATTAATCCACTTTTGGACTGTATTTATATCATACTGTATCGACGAAAGTGTGTGTGTGTTACGGCTGAATATTCACGTGTTCTGGGTGCATAAAACACTCTTAATTTGACTATGTTCTTTCATTGTTGGCCACGACGACCGATCTGAGGTGACCTATTGAAGCTTCCGAGCTAATACGTACACTCGTGCAAGACGTATTGGCACAGACACACTGGTGTGCAATAAAAGTGCCGTACTTGAACGAGCTGATTGGTAAAATGGTCTGGATGACTAGTGGCCATTCTATGCGCATGTAACAACGGCTCTAAAGAGGAGTTAATGCACTGATGGCTTACCTGCTTTTGAGCCACGCCGGTACATAGCCAGATTAGGCACACAATTGCGGCTGAAACCTTTCGAGGGACTCCTATGCATGTAACCGGTTCCCCATGTGACGGTTCTATGGGTGGACATTTTATCTGAATGTCTGGCTGTATATGTATTTATTATCATTGCTAACTTCTCGATTTTTTTAATACATTCAACTCGGATATCCAAATTTTCTTTCGGGAACTGTTTTGAAAAATTTGAACGATTTGTTTTATGCTCAGGCCACCCAGTTTGACTGTCGAAGAACATGCCATTTATTTATTCGCACCATACGTGTTTCTGACCCTCGCAAAGGACGCGCACTGCAAAGGGGAATAGTTGAAGGGACTAACTTCAGTTTTTTTAAACTTAGTTCTGCACCATACACGTAAGCTCAACCTTATTGACCGAACACTGTGGATCATTTTTTCGGTTACGGCGCGTGGTCAGCAACGCATACAATTGGTACCGTAGCGAATGTACTCTCTCATGCTCCTTCAAGCTACTGAAATTGCTCGGTACCGGGGTCAATGTCACATAGGCCGAAATCGACGGGACTGTTCACTTTTTAACCTCTAGTTACCTTCTGTCATTTGCATACTATCTCGCACTTGCCCAGGCGACTGCACTGCTACCAAAAAAAGAAAAGTGATACATCGTACGAGTCCGCATATTGGGCGGCGCTACAATGATTCGTTAAGCCTTCTTTGTTCATCGCAATGAGACTGGACCTTACCGTGGTGTGATGCTTTGCGTGCTTCAGAGATCCATTGAGCTATGCTGGGTGGTGCTTTTTTGCACCTTCAGAGCCACTCATACAAGATTGGTCAATGGTTAGAGGTCAGACAAACTCAGCCTCCTGGTCTTCCAGGTTGGGCGTTGGAATGAGGGTGGCACCTTATTCCTTAAAACGGACTCCTTGTAGCCCAACGCCAAACCCGCTGCCTTGCGGTCAGGTTTTTAAACCAAAGGCTTTGGTTGAGAACGCTAATCGTTCTCCTGTCTAGGCCTGGGCAACCTGACAGTATCCTGCCCATGCAATACAATGAATCTTTTCTCAAACAATTTCCTGATGCTCTGGCCACCGCAGAGGATAATAAACGGTGCCCTATCTGTTGCATCGAGCAAGGTGGATAGGGGTTTAGATGATACTGCTCAAGCCTTCCCATCTTATTCCCCCTCTTACGATTTTTCACTCCTGTTGTCTCGTTCCAGCTTCACTTTTATCCCCCTGTTTTCAACATCCCAATTCTCGGCCCTCCCCCACCTTGCTTCAATAGTCGCTTGTCTTTTAGTTTCAACTCACATTGGCATGCCTCAGTGTTCGCACATTGCTTCAGATCGGTCAACAGGCAGCACTTGCCCGAACATTAAAGACCCTCTCGATCGATATCTGCTGCTTATCGGAGACCCGTCTGCAAGACTCTAGCTCTGTGCTCAATTTGCGATCCCCTTCAGGTGACACCAGCAGCACTTTCTCATTGTACCTATCCGATGACGACGCAACTTCGAGCACCGGCCAAGCCGGTGTTGGTATGGCCCTGAGTCCCCAGGCTGAAGCTGCTCTGGTAGACTGGATTCCAGCCAGTAGCCGGATGTGTGCGGTCCGATTGACTGGCTCGTTCAAAGCTTCGAAGTCGCGCGGGACTAACAGGTGTCTAATTGTCATTGTTGCCTATGCGCCCACAAACTCTAACGATGATTCAGTAAAAGACGACTTCTACAACCAAATGAACGAGCTCCTTCGCCACCGAAGAAGCTCGGACACTGTAGTGCTTGCTAGGGATCTGAACGGGCAAGTTGGAAAATTATCCACTGCTGAACTGCATCTGGGCGGCCAACATGGTGTAGGCTCTCGTAAGGATAACAATGAGCGGTTGCTACACCTGTGTTAAGGTGCTCGCTTATTTCTTGCGAGCACTAATTTCCGACACAACACCCGTCTGAGGGTGACTTGGCGCCCATTAGCCTCGAACCAGCTATGGACGCAAATCGATCAATTTGCTATAAGTTACCGCTGGAGAGGCTGCATTCAGAACTGTCGCTCAATTTGGAGCACATATGTAGACACCGATCATGCACTTCTATGGGCTGACATGCGGATTCGTTTTGGCGGACGCCCACGACGACGCTGTGAGCGCATTGACATCAGCCAACTGACAAAGCCAGCTGTTCTGAATGCGTATCGAAGTACGCTGACATGCGAGTTGAGTAAGCGCTCACTGGAGACAATTGATGGTCACTGGTCACATGTTCGCCAGACCTTACTAGCAGCAGGCAAATCCTCATGTGGTAAGTCTAATCGCCAACATGGATACTGGGTATCTTCACAGTCTCTGGAACTTAACCATGCTCGCCGGTACATTCCAGCCGGAAGCGAACACAATGAAACTAGCAGAAAAATCCGGGCAAAACCGTGCTGGCCTGAAGAGAGGCTGTGAATCCTGGTGGTCTCATCGTACATCAGAGATGGAAATGACCGCTGCCCTTGGTAACCATCGTAATTTATTCCGTTTGATGCGGGAAATGGGCAGCAGGAGACCTGGTGTTAGTGAAACTATACATGACGAAACTGGACAGCCTATCCACAACTTGTCAAAACGCTTAGAGCGTTGGGCTGAGCACTTTGAAAGGCAATTTAATCGGTCGGAATGGTCAGAATTCTTGCAGGCCACTGATCACTTTGCTCGGTGGGCTGTCCCTTTGGATCCGCCCTCGCTCAGAAATCGAACGTGAGATCGGACTGTCGAAGTTGAACAAAGCCGAGGGGCCAAATTATCTTCCTCCAGCCCTCTTCATATATGGGGGACTTGCTCTTGTTGATGCTTTACATGAATTACTAATGAAACTGTGGGAGAAGGAAACTGTCTCAACCGACTGGAGCCGCTCCGTCATAGTCCCAATTTTCAAGTGAGGCTCTCGATCGAAATGCGGCAACCCTAGAGGAATCAGTCTGATCTCCATCGCCTCCAAATTGCTTGCCTCTGTCATCCTTCTACAAACTGACTGGCACTCTTGAAAGCCATATTCGTGAAGTGCAAGCCGGGTTTCGTGTAGGTCGTGACTGCATTGACCACATCTTCACTTTGCGTCAGTTGTTGGAGCAGCGTCACATATATTGGCGGCCCACCGTTGTGTTCCTCGATATCGAAGGTGCATTCGATTCGGTGGATAGATATGCGCTTTGGGACTGTAGTCAGGAAAGGTGTGTCCGAGAAATATGTAAATATTATCCGAGTATTGTATGCGCGTAGCTCAGGCAGAGTGAGGGTTTACGGCCAGCTGTCATCGCCCTTCAATATCTCCAGCGGTGTGAGGCAAGGATGCCCGCTGTTACCTTTCCTCTTCAACTTCGCTATTGAGCAAGTCATGGAAATCGCATTCACAGGACACTACTTAGGTGTGGATCTGCTCCCTGAATAACAGCTTCTTGACTTGGAGTATGCTGACGACATTACCCTAATCTGTGACACCTCCCAGACGTGCCAAGCGGCACTGGACAGAATAGCACTGGCTGTCCGTCACTATGGGTGTTGCTTCGTTCGTGCAAAGCGTTCCTCCAAAACTGGCCTGGACCGCCTCCTGCGCTCGCCCATGTTGGGGATCAGCTAGAAGTCGTTCAAAAATTCAACTACCTGGGAAGTTGTATCAGCGCCCGTAGGATTGAAGATCAGGTCACGAACCGTATAACAAAAGCGCCTCGAGCTTTTGCTAACCGCCACTTATGGTGCCGGCGCGACATCACTTTCGCCCTGAAGGATAGAGTGTAAAATGCAGCGGTACGTTCGACTTTACTGTACGGTTGTGAAACCTGTTCCATTAGATCGACAAACGTAAAGAGGTTAGTTACGTTCTACCACCGGTGCCTTCGCAATTTGGCGCACATCTGGTGGGAACACCACGTGAGCAACGAGCGTGTTCGACGCCTTGTTTGCGGCACAGGAAAAGGAAATGAGCCGCTCAGCGCCGTCATTTCACGCACCACGCACCGATGACTGGGCCACGTGTTACGCATGCCAGCCCGCCGACTTCCGCGACGTGCGTTTTTTTGCGTGCCGGGGGTGTGGATGGAAGAAGAGAGGGGTGGCCAAGCGATGACTTGGTCGAGAGGAATGAAGGCCCTCAGTTGGAGCGTCTCGGCTCCCTGGTTGGGGATCGAAGGACAATGACCACGTTTGGTTAGATACAGTTGCTCACATGGCTAGGAGCCAACCCCAGTGGCGTTCGTGCTATGAGTTTCTCTGTCCCATCCCATCCCTCTTAGCCTCCCCTCCAACCACGACCTCACTGCTTAGTCTAGTATAATTTTGCATAATAACTTTTTTACTGCATAGTAGCCGGCTGGTAGCTTACCGGAACGATGCCCATCCGTATCTCAGGTGGCTTGCATCTGTTGCATTTCCCCTTTTTTCTTTTATGTATTGCGGCACAGTAGCTGTGTTTTTTTACCTCTAGCAAGTGTGTATGCTGATAATGAATGAAGTCTTCTTTGTCTCAATTCGACCAGTTGATGATATGTTGTATGAATGGAGCCTCGCCCTTTGTCTCGTACTCGCTTCTTCCGCCGTCTTCTCACGCTTCACTCTTGTGCTGACTGAATACCACTTTTTCTCATCGATTGTCAGGTTGCGTATTGCCGCGGTGAGGACCTGCGCCGTTGGTTCATCCAACAAGAAGTGGAACTTTTTCGGTATCGTTTCATTCTCGAGAGGAATAGTTCTCTGTCTGGACCGGATACTATATCAGACTTCCTCTCCGAGAATCGACTCCACTTTAAACTTTTATCGGATGCGGAGCGCGTACGTATTCAACAAGAACTGATTGCTGGGACGGCCGCACAGGGCGTTGACACACAAACTGCGTTTTACAAGGTACCTTGAAACTTGGCACTGTGGAGTAGCACCCTCCTAGTCGGATACTTCTATCGCTGTCTCCATGCTCCCTTCTCATGCATAGCTTAGCGTGTGTATACTTCTATATTCATCACTTTAATTCATTGATTTGAAGTCAATGCAGCGGTCGGTTTCATTCTCCAACCTATCATAAGTGTTGCATCAATTTTGACACTAATCTTGACATGGTCTACTGCCTTGTCGCACTCTGAAGTTGATTGCTGTGTATTATGCGTTGGCTACTTGACATACCATGTAGTACATTAATTTTGTTAAATCTTTTTTTCTCGGCGCTTTTGTCCGCATTTGAGCGTTATGTTACTTCGCTCCAAAGATAGGATAGCTTTCAAAGCCCTTTGAAAAGCGGTTTTTTGCCATAACCCAGTGTCTCACTGTGTTGTTCAACTTTTTCATTCCACAGGTATATTTTACCGAAGTTCCCGAATTAGTACGGACCCGACGGGTCTACCTCCGGCGCGGTTTTGCCTATGTACCGGACTCGGATCTTGTTAGTTTAGTGGCTTCGCATTTCCGAACGTCACTTTCGTGCAATTTGGCTCGTTTAGCCCTTACAATCAGTTCTCGCTTGGCATCCGAAGAGTTTCGCGTACTGCCTCTGCTCGCATCTCTATCCAGTCGCTATTTGGGAGATGATTATACCAACAAGGCCTCAGCCATGGAAGCCATCAAGGCGGAGCAAGTTGATTTGTTGGCCAGACAACCTGGTGTTTTCCCTCCATGCATGGCACAACTCCACGAGGCGCTCAAGACCCAGCACCACCTGCGCCACGCAGGACGCATGCAGTACGGCCTTTTTCTCAAGGTATCCGCAGATTCCATCACCACTCTACAGATTGTACTTGTGTACTGTGAAAAGTGTGCCGCAGCTGATGGCTACACTGTAGAATTCGTTCGGCCTGTATATCTCTAGATTATCTTTCACGATAACGGACATCTGAATCTTTAGGCAGTTTGTTCTTCCGTATCGGCATCCTACGTGAGTTCCAACGCTTGTTATTTTGGTGCGTCTAGCAAGTGTGCTGCCATCTGTGTCCAGTGGCGTACAGGACACACGTACCCGAAAGCACAAAGCCGAGTAGACAAATTCACTACTGATCTCTCATGGATCCCTCCACATTTGTCTCTGAGCGTTAAGATACCCCCCGTTTCAATAGAGTAGCCAGCTAGCTCTTTGTATTAATTCGTTAATAAAGGGACGATTGAGCGTCGGTCACGCCAAGCTACGCTATCCAAACCACCCTTCCATATCACGCAAAACAAGAATACAAGTTGGCGTCACGTTGGCTTGCATGGCGTTCACATATGATGGCTTCTACACTTTTTTGTCCGGTTTAGCTGTGTGGCTCACTATATCTCAAGTTCATGGAAATTTCTATAGTTGCTTACATCTGGGCGATTCAGTCTCTTTTGTATTGCAATGACCGGTCCCCAGTTTGATCGGCGGTCGTTATTGTTGTGTCATATCGCACCTCAGCGCTGCGGTTAGGCTGTCCGGAAAGGTATAGTTGACTTTTAAGGTTCCTCCTTCCCATGTCAGCCGAGGCCGATTCTAATGTTTCTAAGGTGCCTTTCCAACCTTAGATGCTGTTTCCAAGTCATTGCATGGCAGTCTTGACGACAATGTCATAGCCGAAGAGCCGTCCTACAGGGAGTCACCGCCTCACATTCAATTCGAGTTGCCACGACTCCAGTTTTCTAGACTTACGTCGCCATGGCAGCGAAATCGGGCACCATATTCTCATCATGCTGGCGGCTACCGAACCTGCACAAATCTTATGCTCATAATCTGCAGCCTATGCCACTGTGTTGCACGCCGCATTCTCTGTCTTTATGGATTTGTCCCGAAATGTTCGTGGTCCAGCCCACCTACACTATAACATTTTCGCTTTAAACAGCACAATTTTCAGACCGCTTTGCATTTTTTGAACGTCACGAAACAACGCACAATCGAGTGATGCGTCATCACTGGATTGTGCGTTGTTTCGTGCCGTTCAATCGTATCGTTACAGAACTTTTTATAAAGGATTTCGCAGTGTGTTCCAGTATATCCGCGGTGAATTTATACACTTATATCATAAATCCTTTTCCATAACTTTCGCAAGTTTCAGTTTCATTTGAAAAAAATGCAAAGCGGTCTGAAAATTGTGCTGTTTAAAGCGACAGTGTAAGCTGACCTCTTTGGCGCAATAAAAGATCCTTATCAATTTTGTTCTTGCTGACGGAAAATCGCACACAAGAATACTCAGGATGCCGATGTGAACAAGTGCACGACAAATATCATCATTAATGCATACAAGCGAGAAGACGTCACAGTTCTACGTAGTTGCAGTGGAAATAACAGAGAGAAGCTGTTCGCGACGTTCTACAGCGCACCGAAGTGACTGTTCAACGTAATTCAGGTGTTTCTTTAGTACAGATACAGTAACGGCTGAAAGCAAACAAAATCAACCTTTCCATTCCTGCGATTTTCAATGTCCTCATAGAGCTAAGAGTCGCATTCATGAGGTACCACCACGAGTCTGACCGTGTTAATAATACACGACAATCGCAAACAGATGTCTATACTTTCGACTTAGCACACGCACCACAAGACAAGAAGTACATCTTCATTGAGGAGAATACAACCTTCATGTGCGGTGGACAGACCGGCTCAAGAAGAAGGGCACGCGCTAAGGTCAAGTGCCTGCAGCAGGTGCCGCAAGCTCACGCCAATTGTTAAGGTAAGAGTAACCAGGGCATATTTCAGTCAAATATCACCAACGATGGGAATCGCAGTGGCACAAGGTTCTCAACGTTCGTCGAAAAGTTTGTGACTCGTATTTGTTGCAGAGTGGAGATGAGTGGCGCATGTTTGGTCATGAACTACACTCGAATTCACGTGCCCTACGAGCTAAGTAGGACTATGAGCTCGTCCTTGTTAGGAGGCGCACCTAACGAATCGACCGGTGTCGCCTGTTTTCGACAAAAACCAACGGATTCCGCCAAGATCATTTCAAACAGTCTCGTTTATCAATGAAAAGTATTTTCCTATAGGTCTGTCATTGTTGATTTTATCAGCCATTCCGGGGCGGAGTCGAACAGCCGATCGGAGTGAAGCCGTAACTATAGCAACACAGAGTCCGACAGTTCGCACAGCTAATTGGAGTGTAGCGGTGGTCTTAACAACTGGCGACTGAGAAGTCTGTCATTCTACTCCCGCATACTTAGCAAGGAAGGAAACGTCGGCGAAGCGCCTGCTGACCAACTCTAGACCCAGTTAGACGCTAGGCGATATCGTTCAAGAGAGCACCTCATGAAATAGTTCTTAATATTGTGATGAATCTGACGCCAGCAGAAACGGGATAGTCTTTCATCAGCTGTTATTCATATCATCCCTTGTTTCCTTCTTACCGAATCGCTTATATTATACGTAATAAGTTAACTGTACCTGATTTCAGAGAGATTTGGAAACAATCGGTTGGTATAGTGGTTTGGTAACTTCTCGCCATTGATACAAGAGCTTTGTCAGACCAGGTGAACCAACCGATTGTTTCCACACCTCTCTGAACTCATGACTATTCGATCGGCTCCAAGTATCTTCCAAGAATTTAACTGTACCTGTTTTCACTGAACATCGTTTTTACAGTTTCGCTATGGTTACATTAGTTTTATCGGAATATTTCAATATTGACCTTTGTCAAACTATATTTAAGGTCACCACCGTTATTCTTTTGAGAAAAATTCATGATGAAACCTCCCGATTGGAAGTCTAGCTTGCAACACTGGCCTGTCAGCAGCTGTAGGTTGTTCTGTCCGGACACGTTTGTTTCTCTTTTATACTGAGCGTTGATTCAGGGGACACTTGTACAGTGTCCTTTTTTCCATTCATACTGATTTACAGTTGTGATAATGTTACTTTAGCCCATCCGTAGTCGATATTGTAAAGTGCTGATAATGTACCCATCCGGATACATGAAGCTTATTTCGACTTGATTTGCATAAATAGTTCGAATGGTATACAGTTTAAAATGAAAAAGATATACATAGCATTGGTCCTCCGGATTTACACCAAGGGCTGAGCTACGGGTGGTTCGACACAAGTAACCTTCACTGGTTGTCAGTCACTAGTATATTCTCAGTCACTCATGGGAACGGCTGTTCTGAGCCTCCTCCAAGGGATCATGTCCCATGTTATCACAGACTACATTATTATTCTTATTGTACTCTTCTTTCATTGGTCCATCTCCCGAGATGACACACTATATATATATATATATATACATATATATATATATATATATATATATATATATATATATATATATATATATATATATACATTCACAGTCTGTTAACAGACATTGTGTCATCAGAACCATGGCAGAAGAAAAAATAGTGAAGAAGATCGGAACACTAATGCGATTAAAAAAGATGGAAACTATTTTTTTGGTTTTACACACGCCATTTTGTTTTTTTTGTGAGTTTGTGTGCATCAAAGGGATGGTGAAATTGCAGAACAACATTGACGCCACTGATGTCTGTTGCGGGCCTTGACGTCTAATGTTTCCAACCTCTGCGATTCAGCATCTCGTGGTCCCCAACCTGGAAGGCGGACTGGTCCGACTGCCGCCAAACTTGAGGTTGCCTTCTTCATACTCCTCCACGTCATCGGCTGTCTCCCGCGCACTTTTTCCAGTCGCTCCCTGGGAGTGCAAATAGCGCTCGACGTGGAAGGCGATGAGCTGGCATGTGCAAAACGTGCCCCAGCCAACGCATGCGATGTCGGAGAATAACGTTCTGAAGACTGGCACTATTCGCCCAATGCACGCGGTCTCTCACCTCTGCGTTGCTTACGCGGTGTTGCCACCACACCCTAGCAATCCTTCGTAGACAGCGATTATCAAAGACTGATAGCCACTTCATATCTTCCGAGCGAATAGGCCAAGTCTCACAGCCGTACAAGTGTACTGCACGGACGGAAGCATTGTACACCCTGCCCTTGAGCTTGAGACTGACATCACGACGACGCCATAGATGTCTCAGTTTGATGAATGCAAGGCGGGCCTTTGCAATCCGTTGTGAGATTTCGTCTCCAACACCGCCACAAGCCGTGATGCAACTCCCTAGATAAGTAAAGCAAGGGACTTGCTCCAGAACATGTCCAGCAATGGTGAGCGCGGGTTCAGGCACCTGCCAGTCCTGGAGCAGCGTTTTACATTTTCCCGGAGTGAAGCATAGGCCGTATTTAGACGCTTCCATCGCCAAGCGGTCCAAAGCGCTCTGGACAGACTGTGCGTCGTTCTCCATCGAGGCGATATCATCGGCGTAGTCCAAGTCCGTGACTCTGCCTCCAGGGAGAAGCTCAACACCGCAGTCCTGGACACCTTCCAGTGCTCTCTGGCGATGGCGAAATTGAAGAGAAAAGGTGAAATAAGGCAACCTTGGCGAACACCGCTGGTCACAGCAAATGAAGAGGTGTGCGTGCCGTAAGCCCTAACTTTGCCCGACGTGTGACTGTAAAGTACTTTCAGGATAGTTACAAACTTGTCGGACACACCTTTCGTCAGTAAACAGTTCCACAACGCAGATCTATCTACTGAATCAAATGCCGCTCGGATGTCCAAAAACACTACGATTGTTGGCCGCCGGTGGATGTGACGAAGTTCGAGAACTTGGCGAAGCGCGAACATTTTGTCAATGCAGCCGCGGCCTGGACGAAATCCGGCTTGTTCTTCTCGGGAAAGCTCCTCTCTAGTCGTTGAAAGCCTGACAAGTAGGACCGACACGAAGATTTTGGATGCGACAAAGATTAACGAGATTCCGCAGTAGTTGCAGCAATCGGTGCGGGAGCCCTTCTTGTGAATCGGAACAATGACCGATTCTCCCTATGAGCTCGGAACATTCTCCTTAGTCCAAACTTTCTTGAACAGCGATAGGATTTCGCTGATAAATACACCACCTTGAGTAGAACCGGTGGTAGGTTGTCGGGACCCGAAGCCTTGTGGCGTTTCAAAGATTGGATTACATTTCGAATCTCTGCTTCATTGGGGGGGGGGGCTGTGGGATCAGGCCAAGAATCATTCATTAGGACTGGAGGTGCCACAGGCGGCTGTGTTGGGTGGTTGAATTGAAGAGCGAAATGCTCTGCCCAGCGACCCAATCGCCTGTGAAGTTTGGTGATCTTTGTGCCGTCTGATTCGCAAATCGTCTGGCTGATAGCGGGGAAATTGCAACCAGTGGCCCTGATGATGTAAAACAGACGACGGAAGTTGCCAGCTGATGCAGCGGTTTCCATCGCACCAGCTTGTTTTGACCACCAAGATTCACGATCAGAGCGAAGACTTGCTTTCAGCTGTTGCGTAATGGACCGGCGATGTTCGTTGTACTCTGCGCCAGCAGGCACCGCCCGTCGACGATCCAGTAATTCTGAGGATCTCGAGATCCAGCATTTGGGAGTGGAGGGAGTGAGGCCACAGCTGGACAAACCGGCCGACAACAAGGCTTGTTGCAGACTTGGCCAGTGTTGATCAACATCCAGAGTGTGAGAGAGAGAGAGCTTTTCACGAAGCTTTTGTTGATACTCTTTCTTCACCATTGGGTCCTTCAACTTGTAGGTGTTCAGCCGGGTGTGTTTTGACCTAGGCGAACTACCAAAACGCATGCAAATTGTCGCACAAACCAGTGCATGATCAGTATCGACGCAGGTTGACCAAAATGATCGGCAGTCGCGTACGCTGCGCGCCACCTGCAACTTATGTCTATGTGGTCAATCTGTGACCAGCGCTGGGTTGATGATGGGGAGCGCCAAGTGGCGTACTGACGTCCAGGATGACGAGAGCTGGTGCTGGAGAGGAATAGCTAACGATCAGCACACAGACTGAGCAGTATCTCTCCATTGTCTGAGCGAACACCTCGGTCCTCCGAGGTGCCGCTCACATGGCAGCAGACGACCGACACGCACGTTGAAGTCACCTGCCAAAACAATAATGTCTGTTTTAGCAGCCCTTAGAAGCAGCTCATGAAGGTTCTGTTAGAACTAGTCTTTGACGATGTCTGAGCTACAGTCAGTGGGCGCGTAGGCAGAGATCACGAAGAGAGCACGCTTTTCGACTCGACGTCTACTGACTTTACAAGAGCCATGGAGCCTCATCGCACAAAGGCGGCTATTGATCGGAATCCAATCAATCCAAGCAGTCTCGGCTCTAGCACTGAGGATGGTTCACACCAGCTTGCCCAGATGCGGCAGACTCGGCGTCACCAGAGAGGCGGAGATGGAATCGGGTGCGTGGGTGGAGCGGTGACACCAGCTGGTAGACCGAGTTAGAGTCCTGGAGTCGTGTTTCATTCAGGCAGTAGATATCAATTCCAAGGGTCTCTAGCGTGCGTGCAACGCCAGCTTGCTGACCTGCAGTAATGTGCGTACGTTGAAGGCTGCAAGTTTGAACTGCGTTCCGGGTTGCAGGAGCGAAGATGGGTGACTTTGGGACCGGCAACTCTCTGTGGAGTACTGTGTGGTTGAGTTGACAGTTTTCACGGGAACAGGTTCATCAGTGTAGGTGGGATTGATCGTTATAGAGGAATCAGGTAAAAATGGGCGTGAATGGTACATGGGAAGGATAGGTAAAATGGTGGCGTGTGCATGTGCAGTTGGCATAGTAACATGATTGAATAGCATGGTAGCAGCAAGACAGCGGGTGAATGGTTGTGGTTGTAAGTCCATGGTTCGTCAGTGGGCGAGATACTACCCTGTTTCCCAGGCCGAAGTAGAGGGTTGTCTTAGGGGGCCTCACCCCGAGTCCTTGATCAAGGATCTAACCTACAAGGCAGCAGGGCGATATGAGGGTATCGCAACCCGTTGGGTGCCGGTGACCAAACAAGTGGTTCCTACACCTTTAGGACCGCATAAGACCAGGGGCCCAACGCACCCTTGAATTACAATGCCACTCAGAGAGAGGCAAGGGGCAGTGACTTTATTTAGTGGCGAGTCACATCCGCCACGTCACAGTGTTGTTAAACGGACATATGTGGCTTTTTATAGGGAGAACGCTTGCTAGGCGAAAACCCACCACGTCCTGGAACACTGCCGCCGAGCCATTCGCTGGAACGGGATAATCCCGAACCACCCAGCTGGCACCACGAGGAGGTTGTTCGGCAAGCCAGCCACAGTGAAGCTTCTATATTGATCAGCATACTCACGTAAAGTGAAATGCCGCAAATCTACTGGCTACCCAGACAAAATTGTTATACTCAGAAGAGTTAAATGGGCCGAAGTGGGCCGGAAACTGAGTTAAACCGATGACGACCCGGTTGCTTTTAAGTCACGCCGGCAGATCGTCTGATGAGTGTGTATGTGCGGGTGAAACTTTTAAGGGCACTACCATGCATGTAAACGAGTCCCCAGGGGACAGTTCCACGAATGGTCGCATTACTTTTATTGAGCTGACGGTTTCATCCTTTTCTTTAAAATCTGCTGCAGCCCTTGCTCTATTTTAATGCATCTGTTCCGTTCTCTGGTTGTAATACTGTAACAGGATTGTAAAATCCTGATCATACCGAAAAGGACTTGATTGGTGAAACCGAGAATACACGGTTGTTGTTATTATTATTATGTTAGCTGTCCACCTATAACTAAGCTCCACAATGCATACTCTGGCCTCCCAAATCAAAGACACCGTCCATGTAGACGTGTGTCTCTTTATTTCCCGACTTCATTTCATTGTTTTGTTTTTTCCCATCGTTTGTGCGTCCGTTTTCTCATCAGGGAATTGGACTTCCTTTGGATGAATCACTGAAATTTTGGCGCAATGCATTCGCCCCGAAATACGACAGCGATCAGTTCGCGAAGTCGTATGCCTACAACGTACGTCACAACTACGGAAAGGAAGGGAAACGGGCAGATTACACGCCCTACTCATGTGTGAAGGTATGTTCCCCAATCTGTGGGTTCATCCGTTGTTGCCAATTCGTAAACATCTTTGCCGATTTACGAATATAGGTGTTTCTCCCTGTATACACTGCAGCACCTGAAAATCACTTTATAGATCATCGCCTGAAATACACCACATGATGGATCCCATTTCGCGGCCGATCTACATAATCATGTGCTGTTCGGACATTATGTATCTATCACAGCGCGGCTCCTTGTGATGAATTTGTTCTGTTGTCTTGAACGGTGTGCAGAATGGTTTTGTCCGTCCCGATACTTGTAGCACATGTCCAGCCCCAGCTACTGCTTCGACTGTGCAATCATAAGAATTGACCTAGAAACAATGATACTGATCTCACAAGCTTAGCTTTGCTTCAATTTTGAGCTCACTGATAATCGCATAATCCCATGGTGACGAACCAACAGGCCGCATTCCAGAAACAAATGAATTCCGTGAGCAGTACAACTGTAAAATAATACCATACAAATTACAGATAAGTGAAAACTCATCCTGAAACGTACCGTACTGGGACGATTTCGCTTGCACGTTGCTTCTGAGGGCTTTTTTTCCCTCGGTCTTTATAAATCTTTTGGACAGTTCCTAGATCGGTTACCTTTCATTTCCGCACCCATGTGTAAAAAGATAACCATTCGCGTAGCCGGATGTACCCTAAAACGCCTTTAGATCTATTCTCAATGACGCGTCACGTGTGTTCCATTAATAAAAAAGGTTTCGAACCGTCACCTGGTTATGGGATATCAGAACGCTTTGATATGCTATCCAAAACGATACCATTGCACACTGTGTCGACAGGCTTATGCATGCAATTGTCGCATTCGCTTCAGATCATTATGTCCAGTGCACCGGGACCGAACGAATATCACGGTTGCCCGTTCCGCCACATGGATCCCGATTTACTGCGTCAACGCTTGTCTTCCGGTGGTCGAATTCCTCTGGACTCGGTGGAAACTATTGTTCAACGAGCGAAAGAACGATTGTATCACCTAAGCTGTCGTGAGTACTTCCGGGCAATGCATAAGTTGGACGCTGACGATATGGCTGGAATCAGCATCACCCACCCAAACCAATATTTTGAGGAGAGTCAAAAAATCCTACGCCGGAAGAAGGAATGAACCACTCATTGTTCACCAAGAATGTCTACAGCTCACAACGGCATACATATACTGTGTAACTTTTGTCATAAGATTAAATTTATTTTTTTACTATACAACCGGAATGTTTCTTGGGTTGTGTCGCTATTCATAGAACCACGCATCTTGAACGAATCGTCTGAAATAGTCCTTTGACTTGTAGTCTTCAGTGATTCCAATTGGATTTCAACAGTCTGTTTCGAGTGGTGCACTTCCTCTCACTGGACTTGTCGCCGTAATTGATGAGTTTCTCTGCTACAGATCAGCCTTCTGTCTTCGAAGCATCGATCTGTCGAAGAACCATGTGGCGGTCTATTCGAGATTGTTTTCTCATTCCTCTGCTGACCTGCAACAGCAGCGACCTCTTCACATACTTGCTGACCTATACCGTTGTTGATGCGATTTTGCTTGAGGACTAGATCTGCCCCCGAAACCCAGGCCAGTAGATTGCGTTATAACTGATCGCTGGATGTATGATCCCTGAAATATAGTGCATTATTCGATCAGCATTTGACATCCCCGTCATTTGACGCTTTTTTATTTAAGTAAATAAACTTTGTTTTTGGCTGTGAGGCACACCCTCATGGAGGTGCAATAGTGTATAGTACAGCGATCATAGGCTGCTCCGAAAGAATTTAATGCTACCCAGTTATTGGTAGTTAAAAGGAGACACACGGTGATCAACAGTGACATGAGGCGGGGTTTGTGGTCTGATGTTTGACGTTGTTCAAATAGCCAACATATTCTCACAGAAATATGCTGTACAAAACGACATCATGCCAAGTTGAATCTGTGGCTACTAACTAAGCTCCCATCCAAGAGGATGATAGGCACTGGCTCAACAAATTCATTCAGTCTACTTATTCTTGTTTTCTCCCTATTTCATCAACTGGCTACTCCGGAACTCTGCTCGACTTATCGCTAACAGCTTACCTCCGTTCAGCCCTCTAGTAGTCACGCCGTGACCCTGGAAATGCACTTGCCACGCCAAAAACATTCCAGCAAGGTAATAATGGTATTATGGATTAAATGTGTGGACGTTGGCGACGGGCTGGTTTGCCAAACCACCTCCTCGTGATGCCAGCTGGGTGGTTCGAGATCTACCCGTTCCAGCAAAAGGTTCGGCGACAGTGTTCCAGGACATGGTGGGTTTTCGCCTGACAAGCGTTCTCCCTATAAAAAGCCACTTATATCTGTTTAACAACACTGATGTGGCGGATGTGACTTGCCGCTAAATAAAGTCACTGCCCCTTGCTTCGCCTCGCTACAGCGCTGTAATCCTTCAGCTGGACGCTGAATTACTGGGAGTATTGGACCCCTGTATGGCAGCTCGCTGAACGAAAGGCGTATGAATCGAGAAATCGGTCACTGGCTCACAGTGGGCGCGATTCCGTTAATTCGCCACGCTGCCTTGCGGGTCAGGTCCCTATGACCAAAGGCTCCGAGTGAGACCCCCTAAGTCAACCCCGTTCCTCGGCCTAGGCAACCGGGAAGCTGTATGTCCACACTGTTGCAGAACTCGGTCCTTCAGGGACAAGCGTTTATTCGGCAAAAACAACTCAGCGAAAATTACAGCACGTTTGGCAAGCCAAACTCCTCGATATAAGTTACGCGTTCACGTCCATAACTAACGACCCTTCTGAGGCAATGAGGTTCTTCCTTTGACTCAGTTAAACAAACGATGATTAACTCACATGAATGTCGGCCAATCCATGTCCAGCAATCAAATCAGTTACATCCGCCTCCCTTTGGTTATCTGGCTCGCTCGGTTGGCCAACCCATTCACTCTGGTATGACACCCCCCTTTTCGTCTTTGTGCCCTCCTATTGTTTTACACCCCATACAACTTGCCACTCTGCATTATCTTCGTTGTATCTGCGGCCATGCTCTCCTTGCCACACGCCATCGGGAGCTCCACTCCCAGTCCACGTTGTTGTCTCCGGTGTCGTTTCAAATGCACTCGATTTTTTCTGAGCGTTTTCCCTCCAACATTTATTTCGTATGACCTTGCACCGATCTTCGCAATCACCACACCTTTCTTCCACCGCTCTTGACCATCGGGTGCTGGCTGAATCCACACTTCCTCCCCCAGTGTTAGCTCCGGCAGCACCCGTGCATCGCGGTCGTAGTACCGTTTATGCGTAGGCATTCATCGTCTCATATTGTTCTGTAATTTGGCGAAACTGGGTGCAGAAGTGTGGCAGATGCCAGCATCAGCGTTCTAGTCCTTCGACTGTATAGGCGTTGCGCTGGGCTCAAACCGATGTCTGTTGAAGGTTGTTGTACTGCTTGCTTTGCTGCCCTGTGAGACTGCGATTGTCTGACTGCTCAGTCTCGCGCCCAGCCAACCGAAGGAATACAAAAGGCTAGAACTCGGTGGATAGAGAGTATACCTACAGGATAGATCAAGACTGTTTATTGGTAAACGAAACATGCTAATTTTGGAGATCAAGGTCACTCACTCTTCCACGTCTAGTTTTCAGCCAGTGTGGGTGAATTCCGCTCCACGGGTTTACCATATTGACGGAATAGTTCGATTCCTTTGACGCGCGCTGGTATTTGCTGGCCGATCAATTCGCACTCGATTCCTAAATTCGGCGGATAGGTCGTACCACGCTTGTGCTGATGACCTTTGCATGTCGCATACAGCCTACGTGTTTCGCCTACATCTCAACGGTGTGTTGCGATTCTCCAGTACGGCTCTTCTCCAGTAGCTATAGCCTTTAATAACAGTCATTTGATCTGCTGACTCTGCCTTTCCATTCGATTGACTGTGACATGGGGTGGTTTTCTGATGCATGAATTCCCACTAGTTAAGCTTTTTCTAATGAGTAATGGGGATTTTGGTATAATTTCAGAGGTAGTTCTCCGCAGTTCCCTCTCAGACAGTAGGCTTCTGCATACCTTGAAAAACGCCAGACAGCTGTTTCGACTTTTTGGGTCTCGTCAGTGGTGCGCCTTCCTTGGACCGCTGCTGAGTTCCAGCCCCATGATTTTCGGATGCCAGCATCTTGTGCCACTAAGCCATGGGTGACGGCCGCGTATCTCTTTGACTGACAGTTGACTACGATATAGCTCTTTTGGTTTGCTTTTTCCACTACAATACGTCTGTGCTCGTAACCCCTGGAATAACCTGGTACCGACTGACACCACACTTCATTTTGTCCCAGATAATGTAATGTGGATAAGCATGGACGCAATATTCTACGTGCAGTCGTACCAAACTGCGAAGCGCTTAATAAACATATCAGCTATTAGGGTCCCGAAAATATGTCTGATCGACTACAACATCCGGTACCCTTCTTCCAGTTGTTCCCAGAGTGAAGAGTGGAAAAGTGGACGATACCCAGATCAACCTGGTGAGTCACGTGAGGAATTTCATCGTTATTGATCAGATAGCTCGTGGGAAAGTCAGCCGTTCCGATGCGTAGCAATGAACACGTTTTCCGGTTTATAGGCCGTACTCACAAGACAGACCATTCCCAGAGTCTATCCAAGGCCCGTTGAAGTCTCAGTACCTCCAAGGACATCCACAATATTCCAGAGCTTTAGGTCAGCAAATAAGAGCGGTGACATCTCAAGCTCCCCAGGCAAGTCATTTACGTGAATTTCGAACAGCGGCGACCCCAGGACACAGTCCTAAGGGGACACAGCTAAGAACAGCTTGTCGAAACGGAAGACTGCGTCCCACGCGTGCACACTGTTCTTGTCCATCCAGAAAAGCTACCACTCATTGAAGGGAGCGACCAGGTATTTCATAAGATCTCGAATGCGAGTCAGTGTAAAGGGAGTTAGTGCAGTCAACGAATAGCACATGTAGTGGGCTGGGAATTCCCCGTTTTGCTCGTTTAAAATTCTAATTGAAATTATTATTTCATTGTACTTAGGCAACCGATACGGATTGTGGGGCTGGTTGTTGAGTTCGATTGCTCGAGTCGAGCACCGCATTTTGCTTGACGCTCGTTTCGATGGCAACGCGCGATCGCTCTGTGTACTGTGAAATTTTCGTTCGTTTTCTTCATAGATAAGCAAACAGGGATCCTTTTATTGTGCAAATAAAAGTTTCTCTCCAACTCGATCTGCCTTCTGAAATCGCTATCCGGGCTCCCCCTAAATTGGTGTGTAGCGCCCAAGATAACTATATCTTTTACGTACAATTTCAACGCTGACCAATTGTACATCATTCTTTATTGTTTTAATCTCCCGTACATCCGGCTGGACACTCGACTGCTCTGTGAGTTGTTGCGCTAACCTTTGCTCTTGTCTCGCTCTATCCGTCCACGTCTTTTGTAGCCCATCGAATGTAATCCAATTGTCTTTCGCGCTGGATTACGCGCATCGTCTCGGACTAGTATTTACTCGTCCTACAAATTGGTGTAACCGTTCGCCCGCGCGGGTTTAAACTATTTTTTCGTCTTTTGTATTTTTTGGTGCGTTCTTTCCTTGTATTTTTTATATTTCCTTCCTAACTTTAGTGGTTTCATCGTGTTTTTGTATTATCCTTGATCTCGATTCACCACGCGAAAGTAGCATTTGAGTCGTTTCACAGCGTAGACATGCTTATTTCGGCTGTTCCAAGTTTCATGGAACATAGCCCAGAGGTTTAGTTTGCGTTACTCGAGATCCAACTCGAAACTAAAGGCATTCAGACTGACCGTTCGAGGTACACTCAGCTCGTCCCACGCCTTCGTCGGTTGTGACACTGGTTCAGGATATTCCACTCTACTCATCGAATGAGGCAAAGCATAAAACCATGAAGCAAGCGATCGATCTGAACAGCTTAATGGTCTCATGATTGGAGATCGCAAGCCGTCGATGTTGCTCCGCGAAATTCAGCGCATCGCTAGTCCTTTGTTCTTGAGCGAACAATGGTGTATTACAGGTGAAAAAGCAATGCTTAACAAGTCCCGTGGGATGGAAAGTATTGCGAAAATAAAATTGCTTGATAAAGTGAAAAGCGTTTTGGTGGACTCACCATAGACTTATGTTGAATAGCGATGTTCGCGTATTAAAAGCATAAATCCGTTGTTTGGGAGTTTGGTAAGACACCGTTTGATTGCGTTTCCTAATCCCTGG